TTTGGAACTCTGACTTTAAATACATTAAATATTCTTCAAATAAGTCGACCGTTGTGCATTAAATTCGCCCTCATAGTCGGCTACAAAGTTAGAGCCGGCTCTGCTTCCATTTTTCACGTGTGCCAAAAACAATAGTTGAATTTCTTGCCTGTAGAGCCGGTTCAACAAAATCTGCAGCCGACTCTCTGCACTTTTGCTTCCTAGAGCCAACTGCAATTTTCTTAAGCCGACTCTCTGCACATTTTTACCCTTTGAGCCCTTTTTAATGCAATCTCATTTTGCTTACTTTGCAATATATTGGCAATTTAACTACACTCTTAAATAAATCAATTAGTCACTCAAATGTGTTTTGTAATCATCAAAATCATAGGTACAACAATCTCCCCCTTTTTGATGATGACAAAACACTTTGATCATAAAGCATATATACTTCAGTATTAACCTCAAAATTTCAGCACCAAGAAAATGACATTAACACATTAAGACATTCTAGAAAATTATTAGAATTCAGCATACTTTCTCCCCCTTTTTGTCATTCATCAAAAAGTATATAAACATAAGCAATAAACTCCCCCTTAATTCATGCTATTAACCTTTAAAGCATCAAGAATATGAAATGAATAAACTCATCAATCATCATCAATATAGCACCATAGACAACCAAAGTCATGAATACAATCATCAACCAATAAACTCCCCCTCAATAAGAGCATATAATCATCAAAATCATAGACAATCTGGTTTGAAGAGAGAGAAGCCCGAATGATTTAAAAAGTTGTAGGAGAGCCGGCTCTAGTCCTGGAGCTGGCTTAACTTTAGAGAGAGAAGACTCTCGGGTTTTTGGGTTGAGCTGGCTGTGAAAATGGTTGAGCCGGCTCCACTGGCCTTGATTTGGACAAACAGAAAGTTTGGGGCTATTTTGAAGACAATGCATCTTAATTTGATATTTCTTCATTTAACTAATTGGACATCAACTACTAAATAATGCAACTTTAGTCATATATCAATGTATGCATCATCAAATAGCATGAATATAATCAAGGTACACAAATTCTAATAATCAAATTCATTAATTTCAAGAATCATATCAAGCACTAGGAAAGACACATCAAATGGAATAATACTCAACAAGCATATGTATCAAAGAGTGAGCACACATAAACCAATAATTAATAGTCATGCTAATGTGATTAAACTTAATGAATAAATGCAATAGGATAAATGATACCAATTTGAGCACATGAGTGGAGCATTCAAAAATAAATTTTCTTTGCACTTTCACTCCAACATTCTTGTTGAGGCATAAGTCTTTATCAAGATCAACTTTACTCTTCTTTTGACTTTGCCATCAACTTTACCTACAAAACAAAATTAAGTTTTAATTTTTGGTACCCAAATTTGCTTGGGTCCATGAGAGTTAGTGCTTAAAGTTTCTTTTGGAACCCAAATTTGCTTCACTTTACCTTGAGCTATCAATCTCTTCAAAGGACATACATAGGCAAAGTGTCCATTTGCACCACAACAATAGCAAGTAACATTAGGATGATATGATTGACTTGCTCTTACAAAAGAATTCTTGAAAGTCTTTTGCTTTTTAGAATAATCAAATCCAATGCCCCCTTTGTCATAAATACTTTTTTGAGATTTTAAGATATAATCAAATTTTTCTTTACTCAAAGTAAATTTGGAAATCACATTCTCAAGATCATAAGCTTTTTTCTTTAAAACCTCATTTTCCTTCTTTAAATCTTCATTTCCTTTCTTTAAATCCTCATTTTCCTTTTTCAAAGCATTATTAGACTCCTCATTCTTTAAAGAAGCAATCTCACCATTTAAAGAAGGATTCTCTTTAACTAAAACCTCATTTTGTTTTAAGAGAGATTCAATCTCATTCCTAAGCAATGAAATGGTTTTAGTAAGAGCAATATTCTCATTTCCTAGTTTCTTAATGTCATTCATAGAGCAATCAAGAACTTTGCATAAATCATCATAAGAATACTCAAATGAACTTTCATTAATTGAACTAGAGAAGTTAGAGTTTACCTCCTCATCATTGTAGCTATCCTCTTGAGCCATGAAGCAAAGATTTGCAACACCATTTTCCAAGGAGCTTTCACTTTTCATTGAGCTAGTCTCATCATTGCTCCAAGTGGCGGTAAAAGCTTTCTTCTTCATGCTCTTCTTGTGTTTCCTTTCACCCTTCTTCAATTTGGGACATTCATTTCTATAGTGCCCCATCTTGTTGCACTCATAGCATTTCACACTCCTTTTGGTAGACTCTCCTTCATCTCTTTTTGCAAGCTTGCTCTTTATGTTCTTCTTCATGAATCTCTTTACTTCCTTTGAAATCAATTTGGTGATGTCCTCCTCATTGCTAGACTCATCATTACTAGCATCATCTTCACTTTCTTCCTTTTTGTTGCTAGCCTTGAAAGCAACATTCTTCTTCTTCTTCTCAACTATTTCAACTCCACCATCAACTTGAACTTCTATCTCATATGTCATCAATTTTCCAATGAGATCTTCAAGCTTGAGGGTGTTGAGATCCTTAGACTCTTCAATTGCGGTCTTTTTGGCTTCTCAATTCTTGGGCAAGCTTCTAAGAACCTTCCTCACTACTTCTTGAGAAGGATAGACTTTACCAAGAGCCTTGAGATTGGTGACTATATAATTCAATCTTGTATACATATCTTGAATGCTTTCCTCCGGTTTCATCTTGAAAAGCTCATACATGTAAATGAGTCTATTGATTTTGGCTCCTTCACTTGGCTTGTTCCTTCATGTGTTACCTCCAACATGTCCCATATCTCCTTGGCCGTATTACATCTGGATACTCTATGGAATTCCGTTGGATTGAGAGCACATTGAAGCATATTGATTGCTTTGTTGTTGATCATGATCTTCACCAAGCCTTCATCATTCCATTCAACTTCTTCCTTTGGCACCTCACTTTCCCCAACTACTTTCATAGGCACATATGGATTTTTCATAGTTACAATCCATGCCTTGGGCACATTTGCAAACATGAAGACCTTCATCCTATTCTTCTAATAATTATAATTAGTACCATCAAAGAAAGGAGGTTTAGTGGTAGACAAACCTTCAAGTGGTTGAGAAGATAGAAATTGAGCCATTCTCGATCAACTCCTAGGTGGTTAAACCTTCAAATTGGAGCCCTTACTCTGATACCAATTGTTGACTCAATGTACTCCAAGAGGGGGGGTGAATTGGAGTTCCAAAAATTCTCCTCTTTTTGCAACCACAAAACCAAAATTAAGGAGAGTAGAGAATAAGAGCTTGCTCAATGATTTATAGAGGTTCGGTCCAACCACTTGGAGCCTAGTCCTCTACCTTGGCTTCACTCACCAAGGATTTCCTCCACACTCTCCACTAACAACAACAAGGGTGTCTTAAAGGAGCCATTCAATCATTTTACAAGAAGATGAGTGTTTCTCTCAAACCTTACCCCTTTACAATGTAAACCTCACGAATCCTCTCAATAAATCACTCTTGAAAGAATAATCACACCCCCCAAGATCACTCACAAATAGAACAAGAAGAGGATTACATGTAAATATCTCTCAAAGATCAAAAACTCAAGTTAAAGCTCATGTAGGTAAGTAAATATATTCAATACAATGCTCTCTAAACTTGTTTATATCTGTTACCAACCATATTTATAGCCCCTTGCTCGAAAATAATCGTTTCTAGCCGTTGGGGGGTCATTAAATGCTCTGCAGGACACAAAGCTCGAGTTGCAGGATTGTTAGGAAAGCCGGCTTAACTTCCTACAACCGTCTCTGTATAGTCAGCTCACCATTTCTACAACCGGCTTTGCGGGATTCATACACATTCTATTTTCTTCCAGAGCCGGCTGCAAACCTGAGCCGGCTTTGGAACTCTGACTTTAAATACATTAAATATTCTTCAAATAAGTCAACCGTTGTGTATTAAATGCGCCCTTATAGCCGACTACAAAGTTGGAGCCGACTCTGCTTCCATTTTCCACATGCGCCAAAAACAGCAGTTGAATTTCTTGCCTGTAGAGCCAGCTCAACAAAATCTGCAGCCAGCTCTCTGCACTTTTGCTTCCTAGAGTCGGCTGCAATTTTCTTAAGCCGGCTCTCTACACATTTTTACCCTTTAAGCCCTTTTTAATGCAATCTCATTTTGCTTACTTTGTAGTATATTGGCAATTTAACTACACACTTAAATAAATCAATTAATCACTCGAATGTGTTTTGTAATCATCAAAATCATAGGTACAACATTTTTATAGTAGTGATCTCATCTTCTCATTGGAAATGAATTCTTAATGAGAAGATTTGATCACAAAAAATTCACCTTTTAATTTACAATCCCCACATTGGAACGTATATTTAATTTCTCAAATGTTTGAGATACATTTCTCCAATATTCTCAAAATAAATATAATATATCCAAGTTTAATATAAAATTATGTATTACAAATATCACAAGTACGTATTCATATTATCATTTTCCTCAAAAATATGTTTTTGCACCTTTTCCCTTCTCATTAGGTAAAGCTTGTAATAAATCAAGTAAATACTTAAAGATAAATGACAAGCACATGAATTGCTTGAACATACTAAAAATAAGTGACCAATATTCATTCATGTCACATCTAAGAATTCTCAAATTCTTTGTTAACTTATTTTGCATAATTTTATTTTACAACCATAGTCATAACAATAACCTCATATAATTTGATATTACATTCTCTTCATCAAATGAAATCAAACCAAACATCATGATTGATGTTTTTTTATCAATTCAAAATTTTGTTAGTAATAAGAAGATATATATTTACTTTAAATATACATGTTAAAACTACTCTCTCGAGATTGTTACTTTTAGAGCATATTTGAGTCATGAAAAGAAGAATATATCTTCTTTAGTATGTCTTTATCAATAATAATTTTTCTTTTACATAAAATAATTCAAAATATTTGTAAAATCATACTCAAGTAATAGATGAATCCATTCATAGCCAATTTTTTAGAATCGTTGTAATTTTTTTTTTTTTTTGATGATCATCTTTCTTCCAAACAATTCCATGATTTTAATGAATCATTCATCATTAAATATTCATCTTTTGTTTTTTTTTTGGACTTCATAATGAAAAAATATCATTTCATCGCAATCTTTCAAGGATGCCTTTTTCTTCAAGAATATTTTCTTTTTTTAAGATATATTTTATTTCCTTCCACAATTAAATCTTTAAAATTCATTGAAGGTAAATCAATTTTCACATCAAGAGTTTATGACAAATAGTTGGAGCCCAATTCATCAAGGGCAATGAACTTAAGTCTTTTAACAAGTGCAAAATAATATATAAACAAAAAAATCATTATAGCACCATAAAATGTTCAAATTAAAAAACAAGAAATTAAAAGACTAGATTGTCTCAAAATCTTATTTCAAAATTTTACCTCAATTGGTTTATCATCTCAAATAGAATTCATGAATAGTAATTGATATAGAAGCAAATCATGCTGATAATGTGTCGTAAGATAAAGGAAAAATCAATTAGAAGAAGAAAAATTAGAGAGACAAAGTAAAACAATGCAAAGATATATCATACTTTTATTCCTTTTTTTCTCCATTTGTTCTCCATGTTTTTAGTTTCTTTTTTTTTTTTTTAATTTCTGTTTGATTTTTTTCTTAGATTTTTTTTTTTAAAGTTTATAAAGTTTCCTAGAAGAACAATCCAGCAAAGGAATGCAAATTTCTTTCTTTTTTTTTTTTTGGAAACCGAATGCTAAATCTACCTAGACATTAAATGGAAGTCATGGAATTTCAAACAGAATCATGGCTATGGAATGCCATAATCTGAAATATATAGATGCATTTAGAAAGATATGAAAATCTTCCACTATTAGAATGCAACATGTCCAGAGAAGGAAAGCAACAGCACGCCTGTGCGAATCCAAAATCATGCCTTCACAACAAAGGAATTTACACAAACACATACTTCGGGAGCAGTCTCCACAATAAGAGGCGCACAGAGAAGATAACATGTTTAGAATCTCAAAATTAGGGAGACCCAACGTTGGGTCGATCCCTAAAATTCACGAAACCCAGATACGCAAACACTCTCCTCAAATTTTTAGTTCATCCACACATGTAAATAAAAGAGAAAAACAGCCAACGGATCATACAAAGATTGTTCAAAAATATTAACAGCCACGGACATCTAAACATGAAAATAGGCAAATTTTGCAAGTTTTGATTTCAATTCATGACTAAATTACATAGGTAATCGGAGAGAAGCAATCATACCTAGAGACCCGAATTGAAAAGCAAGAACTTGAGAAAGAAATTTTCCCAGTAATCCTCTGCACAGCAAACAGGAGAAAGGAGACAACCTCACCTCACTCCCCCTCCCTTATCATCCGTTCCCATCCGTTCCCCTCCCTCTCCGTCCGACACCTCCTATCCAAACAGTACGTAAAATTAATTGACATTAAATAAAGTAACTTCATAATATATAATCCATATACTTCTTTACTTCTTTATTATTAAGTCAATGTGAAATTTTCCACTTAACATTTTTCCGAGCCAAATTTGACTCCCTTCTGCAGAAAAAGGACTAGAGACCCACGTACCTCCTCCAGCCAATCTTTTTATTTTATTCCCTCTGTTGTTGTGCGCTAAAAAATTGGCCTCCCTTGTGTCTGGATATAAAAGGGAAAGGAGGAATTGCGGCTGGCCACGTCGGATTGGGGCAGACTTTGATCTGCCACGGGTGTAGACTTTGATCTGCCACGGGTGTCCTCTTCCGGTGGGTCTCACGGATAGAGAAGAGGGGACCATCTCAAGGCTTCGAAGGTTTTCTGGGTTTGGATGAAGGTGGGTTCAAGGATGATGACTGGATTGGAAAACGGAACGGGGTGGGGTGGGTTGCAGAACGGGAACGGAGTGAAAGAAGAAAGGAGAGGCTGCAGCACGGGGAAGCAAGAGCTCGACGGACCCTGGCCTTTTAATTTTAGGCAAAAGGTACCCGTTTGCCCCTTAACTTTTCGAATTTGAGGGTTTTTACTCTCCATATTACAATACATGAATTTTTATCCTTAATATTTTCGAGTATGAGGAAATGAGGCAAAATTTAATGCCAGAGCTTGACATGTAGTATGTGCACCGTTGGCCTCCGTCAAGTATGCACATGTCAGCGCCAACTCAGACTTTTTTTACAACTTGGCATGCCAACTTGGAACCGCGAGAAGTCTACCTGCTACCAATTTTATTTGTGGATCCCACCACTGATGTGATTTGACACCAAAAATATAATTTAATAAATAAAAATTTCTTTCTTTTCTTTTTTCTTTCCTTTCCTTTTTTTTTTTCTCCTTCTTTTTCCTTTTCTCCTTCCCCTCCCTATTGGGTTCGAAGGAACACAGCACCAGCGTCTGGGTTCCTCAAACCTAGGCGCGAGTTCCTTGAACCCAGGTGCTGGGTTCCTTCAAAGGAACCTAGGGCCTGGGTTCAGGGAACTAGGCGAACCCAGCACTGTGTTTCTCAAACCCAGGCGCGGGTTCCTCGAACCCAGGTGCTGGGTTCCTTCGAAGGAACCCAGGGCCTAGGTTCAGGGAACCAAGCGAACCCAGCACTGCGTTTTCCTCTTCTCCCCTGCGAAGTGCGAACACAACACTCTATATAACGCTTCCCTGACCCTCTCTTCAATTTTCTATTTTTTCCTACCAAAAACGACACCTGAAAATTTCACATCCCCCTCTCCCCATCCCCAACTCAAAACCCTAGCTCCTTTAAGGGCTGTTGGTGTTGGGGGTTTGATTGGTGGAGAAGAGAATAGAGGAGTTTTGGAGGGTGGTGATTCGGTCGAACCGTTGCCTACAATTGGTGGAGAAAACAACATTGAGGTTGGGGTTGATGGCCAACAGAGCTTTTAATGCTATCATTTTTTTTAATATAATAATACCCAGGCACTGGTGTTGTGTTCCTTCGAATCCAGTAGGGAGAGGAAGGAGTAAAGGAAAGAGAAGGAGAAGAAAAAAAGAAAAGGAAAGAAAAAAAATTATTTATTAAATTATATTTTTGGTGTCAAGTCACGTCAATGATGGGGCCCACAAATAAAATTGGTAACAGGTAGACTTAGTGCTCATGGGTTCCTAGTTGGCATGTCAAGTTGTCAAGAAAGTCTGAGTTGGTGCTGACATGTGCATACTTGATGGAGGCTAACGGTGCACGTGCTACACGTGACGCTCTGGCGTTAAATTTTGCCTCTTTTCCTCATACTCGAAAATATTAAGGGTAAAAATTCATGTATTGTAATATGGAGAGTAAAAACCCTCAAATTCGAAAAGTTAAGGGGCAAACGGGTATCTTTTGCCTTTAATTTTAAAGGTCTCGCGTCAATCGACGTCGTTTGGATCTAGTTTTGCACTTTAGTCCTCAACGTTTACTTTCATGTCACTTTAGTGCACATATTTGGTCTTTATAACATTTGAGTCCTTGCAAAATCAGACTTGTTGCCTAAATGTTGAGAAATTACTATTTTTTTAGAAAAATCAAGATTTCAAAAAAAGAAGGTAAAAATTGAGTTATGACACCTTCAAGGTTGGTACTTAGAATTCCTTTGAAACGCAAATTTGTTTCGCTTTATCTTGAGTTCTTGATTTCTTTAAAGGGCACACATATACAAGATGTCATTTTCTTCCACAATAATAACAAATTATTTTAGAAGTTGAATATTAATTACCTCTTACAAAGAAATTTTTAGAGATCTTCTACTTTTTAGAATAATCAAATTCAATATCCTTTTTTTCAAAACATTTTTTTGAGAACTTAAAATAAAATCAACTTTTTCTTCAACCAAAGTAAATTTGGAAACCACTTTCTTAAAGATCACCAACTTTCTTTTACATATCTTCATTTTCCTTTTTCAAAGTTTCATTAGATTCTTCAACTTTCAAAGACATAATTTCTACATTTAAGGAAGAATGTTCCTTTACTAAAATCTCATGTTGTTTTGACAGAGATTCAATCTCATTCTTAAGTAATGATATAATTTTAGTAGTTTCATTTGATTAAAAAAAATTTCAATTAT